GCGTCGTGGCTATAGATATTTCATCTGGAAGAAGCATCATAACGATTCCTACAAAACCTAGCAGTTATCCTCATCTTAGTTCAACTGACGCCATCAATTTGCGGACACGGGCAAAATTTTATCAGGTATTTTTATTTTGGAAGTTCAATAAATAAAAATATAAATGGTTCTAGTTCCACCTTCCTTCAACATTCAGACGCATTCGTCTCGAACTTGACGACGGCACAAATCTTTAAAGAATGCATGCAGGTCTTCTGTATTATAATAAATTTAACCTAACCAATTATAAAAAAGAAAACAAATTCGAAAAGAATATCTTGTGGTATGACAAGGCCCTATATGCAATTAACCTAGTTAATCCTTAACCCCTAGCTCTTTTATTGGCGTCATTCCAAAACCATTAATTGCTGAGGATGTATTCGACCAAACTATTCTATAATTAGTTGGAGCGTTATATTCACCACATTGGCAAGCCCATGAGAACAATATAAAGTTAACAAAGCACTAAATCATTAAAAAAGAATGTTAGATGAACATGTAACTCATAAAATACTGCACTAATAACATAACTCGATTTGATGGACATGATGAAATTCGCCAGTTCCCGGTACTGCGACTCGATCCTTCAGTATCATGATGTTCCAGGTCATGCAGGCGGCAGCGCATCGATTACAATTGATTAACACTTGCAGATAATTTAAGCTAAAAATACTCCGAGAGTAAACATTCCCAGGCATTAGCCTACCTCATAACATGTTGCAATGTTTTCACCTTATCATTTACACGCCAGCATTTATTCTTAAGAGTACAGTATAAGTGGTACGACAAATATAACAAACTGTTTTATTTGCCGCACTGCATGAGGCATATACGGACCTAAACTCTACCTCATTTACACGTTTATACCACGATTGAAGTCTGCATTATAAATCTGCAAGACACTTATAATAAAATAAATATTATAAACAACAATATTGTTAAAGCAAGCAGAAGAGTTACGCCATGACCTCGGTCAATGCTCACAGCTTCATGACTCATGTCGCGGGTGCGGTCCGTTACGTCACGCCGTGTCAGCATGGAAGATCACATATTTGTTTAACCATGCATATATAAGCGATATTCCCAATGTAAGATGAGTCTGATTGTGAACCATTTACTGAGATATATTTTAGTTGTAAATAAGTCTGATTGCAAAACTTTTTAGGATCCATGGTATAAGCCCCATTCTCAATCTAACCTCAGCATATATTCGATCGTGAACCATTACTGAGCCAAGTTATAGGTTGTGAATGAGTATATGACTGCGAACAATTTCTGAACCATCGGCAAGAGAGTTTGTTGTATAAAAGAAGTCTTGTGGCATAATATTTTTGAAATTTATGTAAACGATATTATTCTTACAAATGAGCTAAACTCTAATCGATATGTGAACTGAGAAGTGAACGGTACACGTGTTCAAAATAAGCATGACCGTCCACCGTCGCCGCACGAGTTTCTGTATGATAAAGAAGATCTGCATGCATTTTGAACCATTTGAATGCTCTATTTGTAATTAATGAAAGTGGAGCAAGTTAGTGATTTTTTTATTTTTTATTATTGCTTCTCTACATTCTGAAATAAACCTAATCGTTTATGATGCGATTTTTTTGTTGTTGTTCAACGATAGTTATATTATTGATCAAATGAATACATTTTGACAACTTTTTTGTTTAGTTTAGATAATTTTGTTGATTTGATGATGCACTATTTAGGTGAATCATCATATGTTAAAATAATTCATTTGATCTTTTTGAAATTTTTAACAAATTTCTTTGTATGGCCTAAATTTATTTGAGAGCAAAATAGCCGCTCATAACTATCCATTAAATATATGAATTTTGTTTACCAAAAGCCCATAAAGAAATCCCATTTGTGACCATTAATTACCGAGCAATATTTCTCAATGTTGACCCTCACTGAACATCACTGACATATAACATTCTCCATGGAAGATCACTGTTTTTGTTGCCACTGTGGCTTGTTTAAATTTGTCTGCGGCCGGTGAGGAAAAATTTCGTCAACTGCACGGCCATCATCCTTCAAATGAAAGTTATGTCGTATACGCAGTTCATCAGTGAGGGTGTAGATTCATACATTCCAGACGGCTCATTAATGAAGTGATTATACAAAGTGTCTTATGTGTTCACTTCGAAATAACAACATAATGATAATTGACTATTGATGGACTTCTTCCTCAAACGCAGTGGCCCATCGTTTATGATAAAAAATTCTATTATAAGCGCATTTTTGTTTCAGGATTCTTTACAATTATAACATGATCCCGTTAGATACATTTTATTCATAGTTAGAGCAATATTCTAATTGCATATATTGAGGTACAGGGTGACACAAAAAAAACAGAGCTCATAAAAAGTTGAATAATTTCCACAATACTCAAGTAATCCTGTTATTTGTTTCAGATTCATTAAGAAGACGGATTGATCTAAGAGTCTACCACGTGTGAGCTTCGAGATGCCTTGGACTACAGAGCAAAAGACATTTGCAGTTGAGACATATTTTTTGGAACATATCTTTGAGCGGCTGTAGAACAAAGAGTTTTTGTGGTATAGAATTGAGATTTTGCAGATGTTGGCTACATAGGTTGTACATAATTCCATAGAATTTTTGTTTCAAACTGAATAAAATTTCAGGAGTTATAAGACTTTTAGTGAGCTCTGTTTTTTTTGTGTCACCCTGTATATTTGCAGTCATCTCGAAAAATTTCCAGTGCGTTTTTGCCTACAGACGCGCATTCGCCTCTCACGATATGTTGCATGCCTGGACGTCTCCCCACATGTTGTTTTATAACCCAGCGAAGTTGTTAGCTTAGAAACAGCGACATGAGTTGAACAATAATTGTCGCGTGTATAATAAATTGGAGTCAAAATTTCTCCTCTCATTCCCCAAGTAAAATTAACGAGCCAATGAGAATGAAGGACGCCGGTGCGACCTTCCTTCATCTTCCAATGGTAGCAGGACGTGCCGTGATGAGGTCACGAGCTTTTACTATTGACTGACCACGTAACCAATGCTGGCGTGGGTACAGCCGTGACGTGACAATATTGACGCGTTATCCGTGACCAATAGCGGTAAAGCTTTACGAGGCTATCCCTGTGGCATCTTATTGTATTCAAGTCTATTTAAAAGAAGCCCTCGTAACTCTGGATCGATGAGGGGAGCTCCTGTGGTGGTTTTTTAAAAGCAAAGACTGGTCGTAATGGCTTAGCCTTCCGCAGTGTTGTTTGCACAAAAAGTCAACCCCTATCATGGAACAGTTCCGCAAGATATTATCGGTTAAGTTAATAAAAAATATATATAATTGTGTTTGGAACAGTTTGAAGCAATACAATAGCGAACAAGTTTTTCAAATTGCGATAGGTTATATTATCACAGTGTTACTTGTGTTGAGTTGACGGAATCGGTACAGTTTGATGTTTATTCAAATCTTCCTATGAATTACCTGATGTGTGGCATGAAAGTTAATGAAGGCGCTAGAGCATGATTCATGATAACCAGAAAAATCGGCTCTCGATTATCAAAACATGAGATACAAGATCAGGCTATAGTGCGTTTATTTAGATTAAAATGCCGAAAAACGGCTACGAATTCGGTAAGTAAAATTGAATAACGGATTACACGAAGCAACAAAAAATTACGAAAAAGATTTCATGACTATATTTCCGAAATGGATATTACCCGACAGTAGCATTCTGTATACCAAATTCTGCGAAAAACGTGAAAACTTTAATCGAGTCGACATAGAACGCCGCAATCAGAGCAAATCTATAACTCTTACAAATGAATGAGGATCTTTCATCATAGTATTTACGATCGCGATGACGACATTGGTGCCCACGACATAATTACGCACTATAAGAGGTTCCATCGCCGGAAACTGATCGGGCTTCGTGTTCGGGAAAAGGAAACCCGAGCGATCTTGTTCAGAGACTCCATTGCTACACTGCAGGACTCGTGGCGCATGAGGACTTGTTTAAATATCGGGCAGGTTTGTCCTTGACCTCGTTTTAAATGCTTCAAACCGGGCCATATAGTACAAGCTAAATCGTTTTTTTCTCATCTAAAAACTTTTCGTATATAATTATAGTAATGAATCAATATTGTTCCTTGAGATAAATGTCTAGTCAAAGTCTGCTAAACTTGTGGTGAGCGATATGCGCTCAAATGCAACAAAAACCTAGCAACTTTGATTACAGTGAATGATTTGATTATTATGCTGGTAATTCCATGCTTTGGGCCGCACGAACGAAGCTTCGCTTGAAGTTAATTTTTACAAGAAAACGCATTTTTTTGCTTCTCCGTCATCAAATTCTTACTAAAGGGTTGGAGGAAATTACTGCTCAATATTTTCCCGTTTCCGTATGAGAAGAATTACCCTCTGCACTCATGACTCACATTCTGGATAAGAAGCATATGTGCTGGAGTGATCCAGAATGTGGCCGTGGGTTGCTCGGTCATCAGTGCATGGTGATGAGGAGGTCTTGGGTCGAGAGGAGCTAGTTGGCAATTTTCTGATCTACTAGCCGCAAGTACTATACCCGTGTACAAGCACCTTAAAAATCCAGTACAAAATTTTCCCTTAGTAAGTCCTAAAAGCATATGGAAAGTTTGATCCAAGATCTCTGCGACGCAGCCTTCGATGACTAATGCTTGTTGACGTCACATTCTGTACGTACATGTGTACGGTGGATGAAGCGTATGCGTTTAACGTTGTGTGCGTTTGTAAATAATGAACTTCTTTATTATAAAACAGCGTGGAATTTATTAGAACCTAATTTTTTGTTTACCATGTGTAACAAGAATAATAGTCCAGTACTTACATTTTTAGACTATTAAAACTCACATTGTTTCAAACATACAATGCAAATAGTGACGTTGGCAACTCTTTACTCTAAAGCTTGAGTTGCCAGATGTCGGCATTGTACTACGTTCACGGCTACGAGCGGTTTGCTGTGCCGCACGGTTACGAAAAATACTTCCCTCGGTAGCTGTCTCTATAGCAGCGAGTAGTCGAGTTTCAATCGTGCTGTTGAGAGGTGTTGGTGTGTGCCTGAAGTATCCTCTCTCCGGAGATCAGCAGGATTACGTGTCTCCTGAATTTAAAGGACTACCAGATTTATATGTTAACATTCTACTTCGTCATTTAAGTCAGGTAAGTTGTTATTACTCTATATTCATGTTTCGTTCTACCACAAATCATTTCGAGTGAATGAGGTAAGGAATTCAACTTTCGAAATAAAAGGGCTGCTCTTGAAGTTACCTGGATGTTGGAACAACTTAAGTTCTGGGCAAAGTAGGGTAGTAGGCTACTGTGCTACTGTTAGTACTGTAGGAATAATTTTACCGGCTACGATTTTTACGCCAACCAGCAGGTTCCAATGAGCTACAATCTGCATTTGAAAAATTATTGCACTTTAAACTCTTCTATGAATTTACATCAATTTCATGTTTTCTGTCAGAATTTCGGTTGCTACACAGTTCAGTTGCGGCTGATGTTCGAGACGCATTACTCGTGAAACTTTACTGAAATCCTCGGTCTCTAATCCGAGCGACGACTGAAGAATAATTAGGTAATGTGGTTACTGGTTACAGTAACGTCCTTCATGGACCGAGAAATAATCCTTCCAATACCGATTGAAAATCAGGAACAAGAGAGCAACTTTGATGCCCAGGTGTTGTATGCTCACAAACGAACAGTTAAACTAAAGCGAGAGAAAATCATACAATCAGTGCAAACAACAGAATTGTTCAATATTTGAACTGATGAATTACATTGTTATTTGCTGATTCCATCGAACGTAAAGAAGAAATGTTTTGCTAAAATTTAATCAATAACTTGTACAATAATGACTTATGTATTGCTTTAGTTCCAATGACGCAGTTATGAAGTAAAATAGTAGGCCTGCATTTTGGCTGACCGATGCTGACAGGTTAGGCTGACCCTTCATAAGTGTTGCAAAAATCGTGTAAACGTATTGATAAATGGACACCGTGTTCTGTGTACACAAAAATCCTTGTTGCTTGGTATTTGTGTATTTAAGTGAAACGAAATTCTAATACTAAGCGTATTTTTGTTTCGTGAAATTATATTTGTGTTTGAATTTTCATGCTAGCTTTTAACTGAAGGATGACGTTTTATCGCTATGAACGTTTAATTGCAATTGAAAAATTCTTCCTTCACGGGAGAGACACGAGCCAATGCATCTGTAAAGTCGCAGTTTCGGGTGATACATTCCGCAAGCTTTCTGCTTCTATTTCTCGTCTTTGTGGATAGCCTGATCGTGCCCTGACTTAGTAGACTATTGGACTGGTATAAAGCTGTTGTCGTGGGAGACTTAGCTTTGCTTTATACATTGGATTAAGCAAAACGTTTGTGTTGCATTTGTCTCTGGTAATTATTGAATAATTATTGGCGAAATAGTGGATTAATCAGTATGCTTCTGTCTGCCTTGAAATGTAGTTTTTTTTTTTCAGCGCGTCGCTAAAGCCTAAATATTACCCGCGTCTCACATTAATGACAGATCTAGCAATAAGTCTACGGATATATAGGCTCATTGGTTCGTTTTAATTTAATTATTTTGCTGTACTTATTCGAGTTTTTTAGTTGTAGCGCTTCTTGTAGTTGTTTAGTTTATTTGAGCTTAACATATTGAGAATAAATGCATGCGCTGAATACGTAACTTTATCCTGTCTACCATCGTAATTATGATTTATGAGCACTAATACATAATAGTTATGAGCACTAATACATAATAGTTATGAGCACGATTACATAATAGTTAGATGTGCTCGATATATATAGGTTCGAGAGCACGTCTCGTTTCATGCCATCTAGAACAGGTATTTTTTCAGCATGGGCGCATGAAGTTTCTGCTCAACGACACGAACGATACTTTGCAAGATTGCGCAGTGTAGCTGAAGTTCAAATATTCCTAAGGTGATTTCAGTTATGGAAGCATGTGCGAAAAGTTAAGAACTAATGTGCTGCTGTAAAATTTTGAAAGAAAACATCTTGAAACTATTCTACTTTGGAATATTTAGGACCATATTTTCTAATATGTACGAAAACATGTATGTAATCTAATGAAAATCTAAGATCACGTTATGGTTAGACCTCGAACTACCAACAAGGTGCTGCTATCGTCTCGTCTTCCTTCATAATTGACTAACTTCGACTCCGAATTTAGTTTAGAAAAATAATGAGTAACTGCGGTGATGCCGTACATCAGTCCTGATTGACAGCTGCTGCTGATGTGTATCAGTCACGGCTGATGTGTATCAGTCACGGCTGATGTGTATCAGTTGCTGCTGATGTGTATCAGTCACGGCTGATGTGTATTAGTCACGGCTGATGTGTATCAGTCACGGCTGATGTGTATCAGTTGCTGCTGATGTGTATCAGTCACGGCTGATGTGTATTAGTCACGGCTGATGTGTATCAGTCACGGCTGATGTGTATCAGTTGCTGCTGATGTGTATCAGTCACGGCTGATGTGTATTAGTCACGGCTGATGTGTATCAGTCACGGCTGATGTGTATCAGTTGCTGCTGATGTGTATCAGTCACGGCTGATGTGTATTAGTCACGGCTGATGTGTATCAGTCACGGCTGATGTGTATCAGTTGCTGCTGATGTGTATCAGTCACGGCTGATGTGTATTAGTCACGGCTGATGTGTATCAGTCACGGCTGATGTGTATCAGTTGCTGCTGATGTGTATCAGTCACGGCTGATGTGTATTAGTCACGGCTGATGTGTATCAGTCACGGCTGATGTGTATCAGTTGCTGCTGATGTGTATCAGTCACGGCTGATGTGTATTAGTCACGGCTGATGTGTATCAGTCACGGCTGATGTGTATCAGTTGCTGCTGATGTGTATCAGTCACGGCTGATGTGTATTAGTCACGGCTGATGTGTATCAGTCACGGCTGATGTGTATCAGTTGCTGCTGATGTGTATCAGTCACGGCTGATGTGTATTAGTCACGGCTGATGTGTATCAGTCACGGCTGATGTGTATCAGTTGCTGCTGATGTGTATCAGTCACGGCTGATGTGTATTAGTCACGGCTGATGTGTATCAGTCACGGCTGATGTGTATCAGTTGCTGCTGATGTGTATCAGTCACGGCTGATGTGTATTAGTCACGGCTGATGTGTATCAGTCACGGCTGATGTGTATCAGTTGCTGCTGATGTGTATCAGTCACGGCTGATGTGTATTAGTCACGGCTGATGTGTATCAGTCACGGCTGATGTGTATCAGTTGCTGCTGATGTGTATCAGTCACGGCTGATGTGTATTAGTCACGGCTGATGTGTATCAGTCACGGCTGATGTGTATCAGTTGCTGCTGATGTGTATCAGTCACGGCTGATGTGNCTGTCTCTTATACACATCTAGATGTGTATAAGAGACAGGTTCTCACTTGTCACAGTTCTCACTTGTCACAGTTCTCACTTGTCACAGTTCTCACTTGTCACAGTTCTCACTTGTCACAGTTCACACTGAAAAAGACACAGTGTTCAGGTGCCCAAAATAGCATAGTTTGATTAGTTGGGTGCATGAGTCACCGCAGTGTTGGCCATTCATGCATCAGTACTCCGCTAGCACAGCGCGTTGCCAAGTGCACCACTAACTCATGTGACTCAGTGAGTGCGTGGCGTTCGTGTCCTCATTATCTAGAGGTGCTGGCTTCATCTCTCGTCTAAATACCGTTACAGGGACACCAGCAGCAATTCTCACACTGCAGTGAATTTTCAGTGCGCAAAATCTCTGCCTTTAGTTCGTTGCAAGAATCAACACAATGCCAAACGATAATTGCATTACAATTGTCGCAATTTTCAATCAATTTGACTCGATACATGAATACGATAAAATTATTGTTAAAAGCCTGATTCGATTTTACTCTTTTACTCTGCTCACTCTGCTCCTTGCGCTTCCTTAAATAACGATGAGAAATCGTATAGTTTTTGCTGATGCATCTCGTTTTCTTTCTTGCAGATACATCAGAGCCAAGGCCCTAGCGTGCACCACCATGCTGAGTGAGGGCCGCCGTGAAGGCCTGCGTCTGGCACTGAATCGTTCAATCAGTGAGCCGTGTCAGGGTCCCCTACTGACGGTGCAGCAGATGACGGAGGCAGCTGCGCAGAGCAGCAGCAGCAGCCTTACCCCTGACTATGACTCTTCAGGAAGTCTCTGCCTTCCTGGGTCTGGGCACCGCACTCTTGCTCTGCCTCTCTCACCGCTAGCATCGGCCAGCATGCCCGCCTCACTCTGCTCCGAGAGCCTCGCGCTCCAACGCCAACGTGTCTGCAGGAAGGTGAAAACCATCGAACCTGCAGAAGTGGCCCGTAGGATAACCCGCTCCCATAAGTCAAGATCCTTTGTTATATTGGATCTTCGTCCGTTCTTTATATTCAACGTGCGACACGTGCGTTCAGCTATCAACCTTAACTGCAGTGATCGTTTGAGTAGAAAGCGGCTTCAGCTTCGCCGGGCAACCGTGGTGGACCTCGCATCACCAAGTTTAAGTTCTCCTGTTAGAGAGTCCCAGAAAAGAAGAACTTATAAAGAAGTTATCGTGTACGACGAAACTGCCTCCGACGTTGAAAGTTTACCTTCAGACCATCCAGTGTTCTTAGTGCTCTCTGCTATCGTTGAAGATCATGGAGAACCTCTTCTGATGAAAGGTGAGACTCTTGATTTCACATTAGGTATTGTTGTTTATTGTGCTCTCCATAGACTGCCGTTGATTTGCGACTGAAGCTGTTTCATAATGCATTTACCTATGTGTTATTATGCGCATCACATTTCTGTAATCGATAAAATTACGAGCCAGATTTGCAGCTCAATTGCCTCCGCAAAATTCGAGTTGAAGCCCCGATGTTAAGACCGCAGATGATTGCATCTTGGTCTAAATTATTCTTGCTACACCAATCTAAACTCAATGACCAAAAGAAGCAACGTAAAGCAAATAAGGTTGTTCGTTATTATGATACGGCGGGCGCTCAGCTGTAGCGCTTGTCGGACCGACCACAGCGGCGTCCTCGTGTCTGGCGAGTCTGCCTGCCACGCAGCGCTGTCGTGCCGGAGAGCCGTTCAGCAAAAGGAGGGCTGCGTTGGTAGAGTTTATGAGCCTCTGCTTGTATTCCAATACTACTTGCTTTATCCGGCCGACATTTCATTCTTATTATTCACGTTATTTAGTTGAAGTTACTTCTAGTGTTTGACCAACTTCGGCGTTCGATTGAAATTTTGTTTAAAAAAGTTGACCCGTTTGCTTCGCATTGGAGCTAAATTGAAATTCTATTCCAAAAATTAATTTCTATGTCAACAAAGATTTTTTCGTTTATTCTATGCGTGGAATTATCGAATATTTGTTACCTTTGCGACTTCTGCATGTTGGGCGTATAAGCTAATTATTATTTTTTTTTTTGTCCGAGTTCTCTATGATATTTTCGCGGTAATTTCTACACAAATGCCCGCATTGTTCCGCTTTACGTTAAACGATTCACTTCCCTGCCTTGTCCCGCTAGTCAGCCACTAGAATGCAATGAACGATTTTAGATAATTAATTGGTGTTCATTACCCGCATATTCTATTATAAGACGCCAGCTCATCGACAGTACTCTTGAACATTCTGTACGCAAGCGCTATTCGTCAAAAGCAAGTCCATGTTTGGCGAACGCGGAAGGTGGCGTTGCCTAAAGGCCACGGTGCCGGGATAGAGTGCGACTGGAGGGATGCCGCTGCGGATGGTCTGGTGCGCTGGGTAACGGAACGCTGTGCGTGTGACGATGCGTCTGGGGTTCTCAGGTGTCCAATGCGAGAGACTCTTTCATCACTTCACGCGTGCCTTATCGCCTTCTGCTTTTCCGGGTCTTGAGAAGCTGCCTGATTTGCGGTATCTAATTTATTCTGTACATGCGCGTCCCATATCGACGATTGTAGTTTTCCGCATCGGTATCAACTTCCCAGTTCAGCTTCGTATAGTTCTCGAAAATCCTGTCAAGTTTTAACATATTTTTATGTAGATTATCTTATTATTACTTAGGTTTCATTTCAAGTGAATCAGTTGGTCGCAATTTTCGAAGGAGCCTCGTCACGCATCTTTAATTAGTGACGATGATACACTCGTCAGCCAGCTGGCTCCTCGTTGTCCTTATGACGAATTTCCTGAGAACCCAGCTGCCCGAAATAAAGCGGCGGGTTTGTAGTCACGGCGCTGCATACCGGCATCCGAATTGAGTTTCTCGGGACGCATTTTTTACTGCGGTCGACGCAAGAACCGGCGTTCAATACAACGTCACTTCCTCGGCATGCGGTGCGGGGCTGCAGCGGCCGCTATTAATAATTATCACCTGCAACTCGGAGGTGGCCTCGCATCTTCTTATTCTGGGACGACTGACATTGATGGCACCGTCACGTATCAATAAATCTTCCGTTTCATTACTTACGTTCAAAATTAATGCCCTTCCTGAACTTGTTAACATGCGTTTATTTGTATGCTTCACAGTTTATTTGGATGTTTCACGTTGAGCATTTTTAAATTCAAGTTCAAAAATCTGGATGATGTTACAAAGGGTCCTTTTTCTGTAATTGGGCTTTATGCTTTTCTGCGGTTGATTTTCTCTTGTTGTGCTATCTGTCAGTAGTGAAAATTATCGAGCATGCACAAATTTTTTTAAAATTAATACGGGAAACTCTTATTTTATACTTGAAGCATCTCTGAAACGATTTATACGATTCTCATTCGTTGGTCAAACTATGGAAAACCTCGATGCAATCAACCAGCACTAGCGTTTTATGCATATCAGAGTGAAGAACGTCTTGCCGTTACTTCGCTACTCAGATTTACGCCTATTCGTAGTTTTTCCGCTATTTGCATCGTTTATTTCCCATTAGGTATTGCTACTTGCGCACCTGATCTTTCATTGAACCTTATTTAGAACTTCTGATGTTAGCCTAGAATGTCATATTTTACTTCCTACATCCTACTTTCAAATGTAGCCTAATATGTAACGTGCCACTGCGCGTGTGGGAAGATTTCTTGTTAATTCCAAGCTCGGTCCGCTTTTGGCTATCCGACTGAAGTATCACAAGATCCAAGCTCCAGAAAACTGGCCGTGCTTCGGGAACCGTGTTGCGTATTTGACTCATTTATTTACGCCACTAGCATTGTAATTTACCTTTCTTTTTCCATTCAGAAATAAAATTTCGCTTCTTTGCAAATTTTTATCGTATTAGGTACACTGCACAAGTGTTTGGATGTATAATTTGAGAAAGTGAAACGATTTCGTACCAGTTGCACCATGCGGTACAGTGAATGGATTATAATACTTGCGCAACATTCGGCCTCATTTTTAAGTAGTCCCGCCTCATATATCAGGAAGTACTTATAGTCTTATAACAGTTTAATTTACTGATGAGTAATGCTGACTCATGTGGCATTTCTGTAGATTATTTAGCATATATGTCACTCAAGCGTTATGTTTGGTCCATTTATCGTATTTTAAAAGTTAACTTCGTAGCTTTTCCATTTAATCGTATGCTGTAAAGAAAATAAGCAGAACATGCATTTTGTAACAAGACTACGTTCTCAGTGCAAAATATGATTTCAAACAAAATAAGCTCTTATTTATATTTTTTATACTTGCTGAACCCTAATGCTTTATAAACTTTCGCAAAACGCAATGAAAATATAATACAAATATTTTAACACCTGCTTCTACAGAACTGTGAGTCAAAGTTTTGACTTCTCGAAAAATTCCGAGTTCATTTAGCAAGTCATTACATTTTCTTCGGGCTTCTTACGCTGCTTGTTGTGCCGATGGCTGAAATTGTTTTGGCTACAACCTTCACGTCTGTTTGCTCTCTCCGGCCCTGAAAAGTGCAAATCTTAACTAGAAATGCTATAATTTTTTTACCCCCTTGCTTTATTTTATTTATTCTTCTATGTTATTCGCTTATATTCTGAAGTAAAATAGTGATGTGAACCAAGGTCATTCTCACCATGCAGACCTCATTTAACCTTGAGTCGTACATTACTAATGCCATGTCATTAAAGCGAGCAGAGCAAATGTTCAGGTTACCGATGATCATGGCAGGTGTGTGCATGTGATTCACACAGCTGCTCCTGGTAACGGTAACAAATAACAGCAAGTGCAATGCTCGGAGGCTAGTGCACGTGTACTGATATTTCACGTTTATTTCACTCCTGGAATGCTCATGAAATTTCTGTACTTTAGAGAAGGTTTGAATATTTCGGAATCTTACTGACTTAATACAAATGATTACAAATAGGTCATATTGCACTAAACGAGCTTGCTATTGTTGAAATTCCTTCAAGTTTCTCTATAAGTCTGAATTCGGTTGAAAAAATTCAATATCGTAAAGTTTTCAGTAAGTCTGTTGCGAATAAGTATTTTCACTTTGAAAATACGGTCGAATTGTGTGAAGTAACATATGAATATCACATGGAAATATATTAAAAGATTTCTTTCTTTGAGACACGCGAAATAATTTGTATCAGTATCTGTGCTCGTGCTCTGTTTTCCTTTTGTTATTGAATTTGTTAGTCATTATTTATAATTACCGCTAATATCTAACAAACCTCTAAGAATTATCTTGAAATGCGTTATTTGAGTGAAGTGTATGCGGTAGTCATGGCACCGCATTGAGCTCGTGACGTTCCGCTACAGCGCAGTGCCACCAACGCACGCACGCACGCACACTGCGTGTACGCCTCGTTAGTGCCAGCGTACACACGGCCTTCGTACACATGCGTGTGTAAGCGCTCTGCGGTGACTCATGCTCTGGTCGTGCCCCCCGTTGTGGGGGCCCACAGCCCCCCCACCGGGTGCCACTTAGCCCTTCCATGTCGACTGTTGTTCCCTCCGCTGGTGCGCTTTTGCGCACGCCAAGCATTTTCTGTCGCCAGTCTTGACTGTAACGTATTAACTTATTACTATTAGACAAATTAATGCATTAAAAATGTATAACCAAAAACTTCTAAACTTCGTGAACAAATATCTTAGAACTTGGTTATTGAAACTATCAATTTGCATTGCTTTATAAAATTCTTTTCAGCTTGACAAAATGTTTAATTTGATGGATAAACTTCTTCGGCGAGATAATTACGTCTCCCTTGACGAGATGACTAAGTCTCCCTTGACGAGATGACTAAGTCTCCCTTGACGAGATGACTAAGTCTCCCTTGACGAGATGACTAAGTCTTCAACGAGATGACTAAGTCTTCTTCAACGAGATGACTAAGTCTTCTTCAACGAGATGACTAAAATTACCTCGACGACTGAAGCTCTCAACATATTGACTAACTCTCTTGTCATGACTAACCTAACACCTCCGAATTGGTGACTAACTAAGTAACTATACCTCGACTTGAGGAACAAAAATCACCCGACTTGATGACTTAAAATCCATCGAGTTGATGACTAAAGCTCTTCTCTGATTTGCCCAAATTTTATCTTCATTATACTGCTTTGAAGTTGCCTAGCTAATCTCTTATCATGTTAATGAAAGGCTCGTTATTGAAGAAGCTGTCACCTTCACCTAGTCATGACGCACATACGTTGTGGCCAAGAATAATTTTTCATCTGCACCTGTTTTATAACACGTTTGTAAAGAATTTATTGTTGCAGAACATCTAAGGATCGCACAAAATTTTCTG